CTTTAGATGACAACAACTGTTCCTAATTAACTGTGTCAACACTTCATGCAGCTGTTGACAATTCATCTCATCACAGAAATAAACGGAGCAAAGAGAAATGGAGCACTTTGGACTGTAAACGTCAGTCACATCACAAACCACCAGGTGGCAGAAAACAGCAAATAATGTTAGTTTTATAGGTATTAGATTAAACTTTAGGCATTTTAAAGGTGCTTATGCATCCAGAGTGGCTTAAAGTGTGCATTTTCTTAATTTGTTTAGTATTTTATTGCCTTTATTTGATAGAGAACCAGGAAAAGTGACAGGAAAGTAGAGAGAGAGAAGAGATGAAATGCAGCAAAGGATCTTTTTATCTTTCTATGTATTATTTCTGCAGATTTTTGAGAACAAATGCAGTTTCTGTTTTTTATGCCTAAAAATCATTGTATGAAGCCTATTATGAATCCAAACAAGGCACATAAAGTCTTTAATTAACCAAAAAGTAGCCACCACATGTTTTATTTCCAGCCTTCAGCATTTTATTGAGCTGTCTCTTTATTGAAGTGGTTGATATCATTAGACATGAATCTGAGTATACGGGTTAAACTGATAACAACAGACGTTTATCTGCGTGACAAATGTTTCATGCATTTATTATTAAGCTTTTTTGCCCACATTAAGCCTTCACTCTTTTTTGCCATAGAAAGCAACAACTCGGCACTTCCAGACACATCTGAAGCTCCCTGGTCTTCAGATTTTTTCGTGCTCAGTCCCGGTCGAGCTCAACCAACCGGCCGCTGCGCAGCGTTGAGCTCATCTTTGACTTTTTTTGACTCCTGTCAAGCAGACGCCACTGAAACCTCCTCTTCCTCCTCGTCCTCCTCTTCCTTTCTGACTCTCTGAAAGCGTTCAGGAAATGAAGTTGGTTTGTGGGATGATGCTCTCCACTTTGTGATCTGCGGGGTTTGCCGACGCCTCGTAGTTACAGATGGTCACTTCATGTCTGTGAGCCTAAAGAGAGCAGAGGACAGACCGACTTACAGCATGGACAGACATTCATAGATATACGGCACTTCAGGTTAAAGCTATTAAATGACCCCCAAGTGAATAATATGTTTTGTGTTGTAATGTTGCAGGAAAACAGGTAAATAGAAACTCTAAATGACCTAAAAAAAAAGCTATTGAATTGAAATAAAGGGAGGGATGAGGAGGGGAAAACAGCTTGTTATACACTTATCCTACACTTAATTCAATTAAACACAATGTGAGACTGGCAGGGTGGATAAAAAAGTTGCCTGACCAGTTGTTCTTTGGATGTATAAAACGCTCTTAAATCTTGAGCGAGTTCTGAAGCTGATCAGATCTCCTGCACAAATATAAACTTTGGTCAGTACAGACATCAGTTAGATTCTCCACAATTCAAACTTCAGTTCATTTTATGGAAACTTAATAATTTATATGTGATTCAACAGCCTCATTTTTAATATTCATGCTGGTTTAAATAGATAATTTGATAGTATTTCCTGTCTTTTTGTGTAAAACTGACGTAGACGCCTGTTCCAAATTTAAGCAGGTTGAGTTCAGTGATTGAAGCAAAGCAAGGGACTAAATTCCTACAAGCAACATGTTGAAGATTAACAAAACATTAATTAATGATGAGAACATCCACTCACTGCCAGTTTATTACTTTCATAATGTTCAGTTTTCGAGAGGTGTATCACATTATTATGGTATTTTAAATGTTCAAGGAACAGGAACAAACTGTTTCAGGATTCAGCAGACTGTTCTCTAATTAAAGGCTCAGACTGACCTCTGAGTATTCTCCCCTCAGGCCGATGTAGTAGACCCTGGTGCTCTCTGCTCCAAAGTTTTTTGAGATGTGCACGGAGAGGTGCTGAACATTGGAGAACCGAGCGATCCTGGAAGTGATCACAGAACGGGCGGACAATGAGACAACAGCTTGGAAATGCATTCGTAAAGGATGGATCAAACATGTCCATCCTGAGCCTGTTGTGTGTGTAAATGTAATAGAAACATGTGTGACTTAATGAGACAAACTGAAAGAAAAACAGAGAGTTTGGTTCCACTTGTTTGCACGCTTCTTTGACCAGATCACAGAGATTGGATTTCGCTGCATCGTCTCATTGAGCGTTCAGGATTTGCTCACAATGCATCTTTTATACAAGCTACATTAATTTATCACTTCATTCGTGGCTGTTAGGGTTCAGACTGCCTGGATTTTCAGTCATAAGCAAATCTAAAAGTCTTATTAAAAGTCTATTTTGCAGTAAAGTCATAACAATTTCAGTCGGTTTCATGCGGATTTGTCACTTAAAGCTAAATTGTGTAACATTTGTGCCGATAAAACGTACAAACAACTGTGTATTTTATGCTATTATCAGTGGGCTTGTTGTCACTACGTTATTATTTGATGATTGTAATGAAAATGGCATATTCCGTTTGGATTTTCATAATTAGGTCTTATTCCAAATGGAGCATTTTCTGATAAAGACGTGGGATATGCCGATATTATTCTGCTTTTAGAAGCTTTTTGTGGACATTTATACAACGTATTCAGAATATACTGTGTGTGTCATTTAGGGTTTTTACCACAGTCTTTGACACAGAGGCTGACTGATGCACAACAGGAAATCTCCCACATTTCTGGTCAGAAGGAAATATATACCTACTTTCAAACATTATAAAATGACTATAAACGTCAACATGTGTTTGGATAAGTTCAAATATCGCAACGCCAACCTTTTCAAGGAAGTGGTTTAGTGAATGAGAGAGGGAGGCTTTGTTTCCATGGTCAAACAAGTTCAGCATCGGTGGAAAACCCTGAAAAAAATCCTCTTTTAATTCAAAGAGCCAAAATGGCTCCAGCTGTTCCACTTTTAACACAGATGCAACATGACTGCAGTTTGGAAAGGAGGGAAATTCCTCTGTACGACGGACAGTACGTCAATAAAAGTATGTTAATCGGAGTATCCACA